GAGGCCTAGCCATCGCCCCCCCCCCCGGGTGGTGGTGGGGTGGCGCAGTGATTTTTCTCTTTCTTTCTCACTGTCTCTGTCTTTCTCTGGTGAGCACATGCATCCTATTGCAAAAACCTGGAATGATAATTCTGCCTAAGTCAAAGCAGTTAAATTAAAATTCTCCTTTGATGTCATAGTTTATCTATCCACCCAGCATGCATTTGTTTGACACCTGTTTTGGGCCAGGCACTATTGCTAGAGATTGAGAATATATTGGTAAATACAGTAGTTATAGTTTCTACTCTTTCTGGCTTTCTAGGCATTAAACAATTATACAAATAAATGCATAATTTCAACTTTGGGAAGTGTTACGAAGGAAACTGGCAGTGCACTATGAGAAAGTACAGTACATGAAGGCCTTCCTGAGATGGTAGGGGGTGTGTGTCCAGGAAAGCCTGTTTGGGAAAGGATTGGTACTGAGAACTGAAGAGAAGGTGGGCCAAGCATCAAGGGAGGAGCTCCTTGTGAGAGAGCAATGGCCTGACAGTGAGTCCTCCCAGAGAGTGTGGGGAAGAGAAAGGGGAGAGTAGAAATATTGATTTCTGTTAGTTGCTGAATGGGAATGTAGTTTCCCATGTCATGGGCTTCTATTAATTCTTCAAAAAAAAATTTTTAAGGGATTCATTTAGCCCTCCTACCAAAGAGCATTTTGGTTTGTGTTTTAAGCACATCTTTCTGAGCTTGCTCTTTTCTTCCATCTTTGTTGATGTTTTTGCTTATGTTTCTGTCAGGTACCTGGAAAGGAACTAGCCATTTAGGGTTTTTTGTTTTGCTTTGAAGAGAGATTTTTGCTATAGGTTGTATGTGCTCACTGGAAAAACAGAGAGAGATGGAGAGACAGAAAGCAAGAAATCACCCTCCCAGGGGAGATGGCCACACCATAATCCCTTCTCCTCTGTTCTCCTCTTGGGATCTTGGGCACACACACACGTGCCCAGTGTACTCTTCAAGCCACCTGGTCCAGGACTTGAACCGTGGTTGACTATGGGAAAGTTCAGTGACATAACCGTTACGCCATCTGCTGGTCCTGACAGTTAGGTTTTGACACCATCTTGTTTGTTCAACAGATATCAATTAAACTTCTTTTCAGATGCAGATATTGTAGTGGGCTCTGGGTTTTCTTTTCTTTTTTCTTTTAACTATTTATTATTATTATTTTCCAGTTTGATCAGCTAGAGAGAGAGAGGGAGGAAGTGAGAAAGCATGCCACCTAGTCCAGGACTCAAACTGTGGTTGGCCATGTGGGAATGTCCAGTGCCCCAACCACTACACCACTTGCTGGTCCCTAGTTCTGGGTTTTATAAGAGATCTTGACTGATCAATGAGTGATCCACCAAGGGACGGAGATCCTGAGGGAAGGGTTAGAAGGACCTGCAGCCACTAGATGCCTCTGAGCCTTCTTCCTCAGGGCTAGAAATGACCCACCTAAGAGCAATTCCATAACAAGGACAGAAAACAGTCATTGAAATTCCCTTTCCAAAGTTAGGGTTTGTTTTGTGCATTTTGTTCCAGTGTGTGCAAGAACTCCTCCTTCTCTCAGCAACTATTGAGAGCCTTTTCTGTGTCTGGCACTGGTTCAAGGGCTGGGGAGATAAGTTACCGTAAACAAATAAATAAATCAAGATGTAGAGGGTGCCTGAGGGGTTAGAGTCACTACAGAGAAAATTAAAGGAGGGAAGGAGGTAATAGAGAAGGTTGCTTGAGAGTGGAGACGGGAGTTGTAATTGTTAAAAACAGTGGTCAGGAAAGGACTTATGGAATGACATTTGAGCAAAGACCTAAAGATGGTAAGCCATGTGGGTAGCTGAGGGAAGGGCATCTCAGGCAGGGGATCAGCAATTGCAGAGGCCTTACTGGAACATACCTGGACATTTGAGGAATAGCAGGTCTTAGTTTGTTATTACATTGCTAATGGAAATACCTGAGACTGGTGAATTTATAAAAGTACAGTTTAGCAGGTCCCAGGTCTGGTGCTTCGGAAGTCCTAAAGCATCCTAAAATGGTGGAAAGCAGAACTTTGAGCGGAATGCAATGTGGTTGGTATTCGTATGGCCTTCTCTCTCTGACTCTTTCTCTGCCATCCTGTTGTTATTCCCTCTGCTTACAGACATCACCAGAACTCAGCCCAGAGGCCCTACCCTAATGACATTACCCACACCCCAGAGCCCTACTCCAGGACACTTAACTTCACAATACTATCTAGTCCCAACACATGCATTTCTGGGGGACATCCAGTCACCACTCACTAGGACCAAATTCCAAAATGTGGAACCTTGAGGATAAACCATTGTCCAGATCACAGCAGCATGGATCCTGCAGGGGCTTTAGTAGTGGCGTCGAGGGGGGAAAGCCCGTAGGAGAGGATGTGACGAGAGGGGAAGCCCATGCATGTGGGGCTGGAGGCCACTGTGAGTCCCTTGTCTTTTCCTCTCGTCAAGGGAAGATGTTGACTTGTGTGCTGAGAACTGACTGTAGGGGCAAGAATGGAAGGAGGCTGTGGATGAGATGATGGTGGCGTGGGCCCAGATGGAGGTGATGGGAAGAAGGCAGGTTGTGGATGTATTTGAAGGTAGAACTGCTTGTCTGGATGTGGGGCTTGTGAAAAACAAGATGGGGAGAGGAGTAGGGTCGGGCAGGGAAAAGATTGGGGTTGTGTTACAGACATGCTACACTTAGGTCTGTATTAGACATCGGTGTGCACGTGGCAAGCAGGTAGTTGAGTACAGACTCTGGAGCTGGGACAGGCCTGGGTGGGAAGAATGTCTTTGTGAGCCATCTGTGTGCATACCTCTGATATTTATACCCATGAGACTGTGGAGTGACTGTGTTTTGTAGGAAATCCATTTGGGGTTGGGGAGATGTGATGACTTGGACGGACAGTAATGTTCTCTGCCTCCCCCACGCAGGTGTGACAACGTGCGTGTGTTTAAGCTGGGTCTCTTCTCAGGCCTCTGGTGGACCCTCGCCCTCTTCTGCTGGATCAGTGACCGAGCCTTTTGTGAGCTGTTGTCTTCCTTCCACTTTCCCT